CAGACGCACGCCGGAGCACACACACACGTTGGGTATTCATGACTTGTGGGGACATTTCAATGCTTTCCCTGGACCCTAACCAGGAAAAATGAATTCCTAAACCTCACCATAACCAAACTGTAACTAACACTGAAACCACACTTTGAATCTCAAATTGGCTTCCATAGGGGCTGACAGCCCCACAAGTACAGTAAACCTTCAGTTTTTGGTCCCAACAAAGATATAAATAAACACACACACACTTCTATAAACAGCAGGAATGAGGAAAAGATTGTTTTCTGCAGTCTGTCGGGCACAAATACCTGAGCTGTAACTGAACATTTAGTCAAACTGAAAGCGTCTCTGCTGTTACTCAGTTACTCTAATTCTGACTTCAGAGCTGGAACAAGCTGCAAATGCAGTCGGTGCATGAAGCTGAATGCATGTATGTGCGAGGTGTGAGGCCCCGCGTCTTACCAGCGTGTCGTCGCTGCGGGCCACGCTGATGTTGCTCCGGGACAGGAAGGAGCGGGACAGGCGGTTACATAAGGAGATGAGTCGGACCGATTGCTGGAAGAGACAAACAGAGAAGACACGAGGTCGGTGAATGTGCAGAAGCAGAGCAAGCTCACGTCACGTCACGTTAAGGATCCTCGCCGACAGGCAGGAGAGCGATTTTCTGCTCTGCTTCTTTGCTCCGATTCCTCCATCGTAACCCGCTGACCTGCACGCGGAGCGACGTGACCTCACACGTCTGCAAATGTTCGAGCTTCACGACGTTGTTACAGATTATATTTGTATTTACTGACACATATCAATCATCATCAGCAGAGAGCGAGCTGACGACCTCAAATGATCTCTGAGCATTTGCTCAGTTTAATAAACACTCAATGATTTTGTCCAATTAATAAAATTCATTTATTAAAACGAGTTTTCTTTGTGTCGCTGCAGTTTTTTATTCTTCCCTCTGGATTTGGAGACGAGCTGCGTTTAATGTTTGTGTGTTTTGGAGGTTTTTTTGAAGGTCGCTGCAAAGCCAAAGGAGCTGCTGTGAGTCACATGCCCAAACAGAGACAGAAACATGGCGACAGCAGCGCCGCAGGTTCAAACACCGCTGCGTCGTGTTGGCTGGGAGCGTCGCCGGGTCAGCTGTGACGAACCGAAGCCGACATGCAGTAAAGTGCCGGCGGTGAATCCGATGGCCGCGGCGATCAGCAGTGACAGCGAAGCACCAATGAGGAGACTTTGTAGCAGGAAGCTTTCAGAGTGCATCATGGGAAATGTATTTTATTGCTCCTGAAGCTCCAGCGTGAGCGGAGAAACCAGTGAGATGGAAAACTCTCACCTTCCACTTTCTTCTGGCTGCAAACTTCTTGAACTTCTCCATGTTGACGGCCGACTCCTTCCTGCTCAGAGCCTGCTGAGTGTCCTTTGGCTGATTATAGGAAACAAAACCAGATAAATGTTAAAGTTAGAAAAGCTCAGACAACAACATCCAGACGCTGACATCAGTCCCACCTTGATCCAGGGGTGCTGCAGGCTGTCCTGGATGGTCATTCGCTTTCTGCGGACAGAAAAGAAACTCGATGATTTTCAGCTGCTGCGGTTCAGCTTCACCGTCTTTGTCTTTGTGCATTAATGCTGATTATTATTATTATTTTCTGTTTTACAAAGGAAACAAACATCCAGGAGCTCGTGGTGGAAATTCAATGAAACATTGCTGCACCGACGAGTCGCCCCGACACGCAGCGAATCACGTTACAGGAAGTTTATTTGTAACGA